ACGGTGTGCCCGAGCTTCCGCCAGTTGTATTTAGACACCGTTAGACCTTTGAGCAAACAAGAAACCTTTTGTGCTCTGAGCATCCACAACTGCCATCCAGAGTCCATGCTGGACGTGGCCAAGGCTCAGAGACAGTAGCGGTGGGTTAGGAGAGCGGCAAACCCTTCCTGCACTGTACCAGCTAAATGCACACAGGCAGGACCAAGCTGATCTTCAGTCCTGGGCTCTGAATCTTTCTCCCACCCCCTTACCCCACCTCACAGAGATCTCTTAACAACTGGTTAAGAGGTTGAGAAAGTCTTTTTCTAGAAAATTCACTGCAAATCCTTCAAGCAGGACATAACGGGTTAGTTCAAGCCATGACCCATGCATATCACAATAGTAGTAAGATGAATGACTCAGCTCACAAAGGAGCAGGGAGCGGGAAGCTGGTGAGTCGGCCTGCATGCTCTAATAGAACCAAAAGGGGAGTCAAGTTCAAGCCCAAGGAAACTCCAAGAAAATCAGACTGCAATATAGCCTGGAGACGGAGGTTGTTTCTAATAACCAGTTCGGGAGCTATTTAGTAAACAGCATTTGTAAAGTTTTGAACTTTAATTTCCTTCTTGAATATTAAGTGAATGAGAACCGTGTTCCTCAAAGTATGGCTCCCCTGTATCAGGAGGGCATCGCGTGGACGCTTGTTCCGAACCCAGAATCTCGAGCCCCAGGCTGGACTTCGTCAGCCAGGATCTGTCTGCACTTCAGCAAGATCGCCAGGCCAACTGCATGCACGTCACAACTGGAGAGCACCAGGGAGCACTTACAAAGCTCCAGGAAGGTATATGAAGCAAGAGAAAAGATATGGATTGTTTCCTTTCAGTTTTGCAACAGACCTTCACCTAAATATCAAGTATAAAAAAATAAAATTCAATTTGAAAGGGTAAGATGAACAGTAGACTTGTGCATATGATAAATTTTGTTTACAGGAATCAGTTCTCAAATCTAAATGAAGACACATTTCTCACAAATAGTTCAGTATATATGACATCAGTTGGGCAGCTTCAAATGCACTCTTCTGACATGAACACAGGATTGTTCTTAGCAGTTCAAAGACTACATGCTCTTCCCATGAAGGTTCACAGCTGTACACATTAGAATTAGTGCCATTATAAGAAGTTAAAAAAGAGGTCCAGATTTAGCATTACTGACAGAAGGCAGGTTTTTAAAAATAAGTTGAAATGTTTCTATAATGAACATAGATAACCTTTAGGAAAAAAGAGGGAGTAAGGGGGAAGCAATATCAATCAGTGGTCAAGAGTGCCTGGGTTTGTATCCTTGCTCTATCTGCTGTGTGACATTACTCAAGTTACTGGACTTCTCTGAGCCAGCATCTTCAGTGAAACTGGGGATAACAGCACTTTAGCTGTTGAATTATTGTAACGATTAGAAGATATAAAGCATGAAAAGCACTACAACAGCATTCAGACATAATAAGTACTGGATGAATGTAAGCAATAAATAAGAACTGTGCCTTGAAACACTGTCTTGAGATGCCATTTCATTGGAGAGAGTGAAGACATCTGCACTGTGCCTGTCCCTGTCCAGTGCTCGCTGCAGGAGCCTGCAGAAAGCACATTTGAGCCACAGGAAGAAAGGTTCGTGTCATCAGCTAGGCCGGCCTCACCGGCTTAGAGGGAAGATAAAGAACCCTGCAGCACAAGCTGAGGAGGCCGAAGCCAGTCAGCACGCAAGGGCCCCAGAACGTCCGAGCAGCTTCCCCTCCCTGCCTCCGGGGCCTCCATTCCCACATCTAACGAAGGGAAGCTGTGGGCAGGCTAGTGAACCTCTCTGAGCCTCCCTTCATACTTAGGCCCTTAGCACAGAGAAGCCAGCACTTGGTAAATGCTCAATAAATGGTACCCATTACTATCTGTCTGATGGGCATCTGCAACACAACAATACAGTTTGCTGTTTAGTCCCTAGGGCGAAAGAATTTGATGTGAATTTCAAATGAAGAGAGAATGGGGTCTCTTTTGGACACCCTACCAATGAAAGATTATGATTATAGGAAGCCTTTGTTATAACTGCTGCAAAAGCTGAATCATTCTCCTTAGCAATGAGGTATTAGAAGCTGGCTAAAAAGGCGTAAGTCATATCCTCACTTAGGATTCATCAGAAAAGTAGGAAAAGGCAAGATCATCTCCAGTGTAACAAAAAAGGCTGTAACAAAAAAATTTAATGTCTGACAGCAAAATGGCTTAATAAGAAACCTCATCTCACCAGACTGGACTAGTGGGCTAGTACCACACTAAGTGAAAATGATAAATCCACAAAAACAAGGCTGAGAAAGAAAAAACAGTTGATTTTGAGGGGTAGGGAGACTAGAGGTGGTTTTTAGATTTGTTGGTTATTATTTTTTTTTTTGCAAAATCAGGGCATTTTTGAAAACCCTGTCAGATCAAGAGGAAAAAAATGTAGGATCGTCCAGTGGTTTTGGGCAAGATGAGAGGAGGTGGGGTGTCCACCAGTGGTTTCCAAGCCTCGTTCTTCAGCTGTAGAAGCCTTTGGTAAACAAAATCTTACTGCGACTCCAATCTACGAAGCAGATAAAATGTTGCTTTTACTAAGTAAATTCGTTTATATGTTCAATTTTAATCCTTGCTTCACTTGGGTCTGTGCATTACAGTACAAATTACACAGGTTGAATACAAATTTGAATAAAGACATGTTACATTTTTTCATGGTTAAGGTAATTTCTAGAAGAAAAAATTCCAATTTAAAGCTTACAGAATCCTAGTGTTTCCCAGGAGACAGTTCAGAAACATTGAAAGGAGTCGAACAAGCAGGGCTAGCCAAGGGCCAGGTGCTTTTTCATACAGCCCCGAAGCTTGCTGTGGATCCGGCACAGGTCATTTCTGTCCGTGTAATGCGAGGAAGGACAGTGAGCAGAGGGCACACTGATGCCCTCTATTTACGGCCAATGAAGCCAACACAGAGGGGCATGGGAAGAGGTGAGCCGATGGTCACTGCAACAAAGGCCGCATCTATGAAGTCTCCCAGATCCCAAATCAAGAGGAGAAAACAGGTTGTTCGGGGCAGACTTGGGTTTGGGAGGAAGAGCCGCAGACACCCAGGCTGGCACACCTGGGGGCAGCAGGGAAGCCAACTGGAGGTTTCAGAAAGGACAGGAAAGCATGTGATTGTCTCGTTGGCGGGCCCTAAGTGGGACGCTGAAGGAAGGGCAGAAAGGAACTGGGGTGACGTGGCCCCAGCAAGATGCAGATGAGGGGAAGGCGGCCACTGAGCAAATGGCTCTATCTACAGTAGGAAAGAGACGTGGGAATTTAGGACAGGAAAGGGCGAAGAGAAGTCATCAATCCAGGGAGCACTGGAAACCTCATCGGGGATGGGACGTGCAGAGAGGCAGGCAAGCACAATCTGCGAAGAGCAGGAAAAGTCGCAAAGAATTTAAGCCAAGTGCAGAAAGAAATAAGAAGGATACAAAGTTCAAAGGATGCTCTGAAAACCTATCCACACAAAGATAGTGTATGGGAAATCTTGAAATATAATATAAATGGCCCGAGAAAAAACAAGACCAGAATTTCAGCTTATAGAACTCAGGAAAGGAAATGAGAGTCAGAGTTTATTGGATTTATAGAGCGTTTTGATGTGACTGTTGAAAAATTATTTGCCACAGGGAGGGAGGCTTTGGTTTCCTGGTTGTAAAGACTGTGCAATAATCCCGTTTAGAGTGATCTGTGGGGATCAGACAGACGTGTACACAAATATAAGGTCCTACATAAAGGCTTGGTGGTATTGCCAGAAAAGCAAGGGTAAGTCCTCTTCTCACCTGGGCAGCAGGGACTGAGGAGGGAAAGAGTGGTCTGAGTTATCAGGGACGGTCTAATGAAAGCCTTTGGGAGAGAAAGACTCAGGAGAGGCCGAGCTTCTGAACGCCCCGTGGTCCCTTGGTTTGAATGACAGGCGTGGGCTTTTCCGGTCCTTTCCCTGGACCCAGCGCTGTAGCTGGTTGGAGAGCTGCAAAGAGCTGCCTTCCATGTGCCAGGCGCTTAGCCACATCATCCCATTTAGAACTGAAAACGGCCTTGGGAGGAAACAGTCTGGTACACGGATTCAGACGAGGCGTGGACAGGGCAAGCGGACGACCGAAGGTCCCCCAGCCAGTGAGCGAGGGCCAAGGGTTCCCAGCGGACTGATGGTCGCCTCTCCCCTCACAGCGGGTTCCTCAGGTGCGACTCACAGCACCCCGACACGCACGGTCCTTCATCCTTCTACGCTCTTCGGGGATGGCTTCTGCAGGCGGTGGCAATCTCTTCCCTTGGAGTGTATTTGGTTTTATGAAGATCTTTCTTGCCCTTCTGGCAAAACCAAAATTAGAGCGGGTTATCACAACCGAAAAGCGTAAAAACACTTCTTCCGCCTCTACGCAAGGCACCGAAAATTATGATGAATTAAGATTTCTTGGACAAGAAAGGACACTTATTTCCCGCTGAACCTTCTTCCTCAGTCAGTGCCTCCTCGAGGCCAGAGGTTGTCTTGTACAAGTCTTGGATACGCTACCGCCAGCACAAGGTTACACTACCATAATCAGCTAGTAACATTTATCAAATGAAGGCCTAAAACATCTCTATTCGAGCCAAAGCATTTCAGCTATGCAAGGCAAATAAACCCTAGCGATCTACTGCACAGCACAGTGCTGTAGTTAACAATGCTGCATTGTGTACTTAAAAATTTACTAAGAGGGTACATCTTATGTTAAGTGCTCTTACCACACACACACAAAATGATGAATGATGGCGATGACAACAGTAAAGAGGGAAGGAAGGAGGTGATGGAGATGTTTATGGCAAAGCCTACAGTGGTGGTTTCACAGACGTGTAATCATCTCCAAACGCATCAAGGTCTATACATACGCATTAAATATGTACAGCTTTCTCTATGTCAGTCATGTCTCAACAAAGTGGTTTAAAACAAACATAAAATAGCCAGGGCGCAAGTATTTTAATATAGGGAACTTTATTTTTCAAAACTGGAACTTCATCACTTCTAACACAGGAGATGGTCTGAATTTCATTTGAAATTCCTCCCAAGGAGAATAAAATACTGTAGATGGAGGTGAAGCCAAGGCCTCTTGGAATCTGAAGACGCAGGGAAGGCGTCTCGGCTTCTCTTCAGCTGTCTGGCGTCACCAAAGCAGTGCCCCGCAGGGCCAGCTTGGATAAGCTTATGACCTCTGTTTGGCCCTGTGTTCCTAAAACTTTTGTGAGGAGGTAACTAATAAACTGTGTAAATGTGCCACCATCTAGTTAAAAAATAGTAGCTTTGCTGCTACTGGGGCTGACTTACACTACGTATTTTCTGCAAAACACATTTATTTATCTTTCCCTCTAATAAAATAGACCTGGCAATAAATGAAAGGCAGCAAAAGTAGCCATGGCTTGCTATTAAAACTTGGTATGTTTTTAATGACAATTTTTAGTCTACTGTTTTTGGATGGTTCAGGTATTATTTGAAAATAAGCACCCAATGAAGACATCACTGAGATTGGCAGCAAGGTTTGAACACAACAATTTGTCCTAAGTACAGTGTCTAAACTCAAGAGAATTTAAATGTGTCCCCCTGAAAGGTCAGACTGCACTTTAAAATGGCCAGTATGCTACCAAGGAATCATTTGTATAAAAATGTCACCATAAAACACATTAGTCTTTTTGTTTTTTTAAGTTTAAACTACAGTCTAGTGAATTTAGCTCCTCAAACTCTTACATAAATGCGACAGTGGAGGAGGAAGTCTCTGGAACTTCAGAAATTTTTTTCTTTCTTTTCTGTAAAAAGAACTCTCAAGAGTGTATCCAACCACGTCTTTCAGACATAATCATATGCAGAGAAAAGTGACCCAAACAAAGAAGGAATTAAAGAAAAATTCTGGCCGCTCTTTAAAGTCATTCTTCATCTTAGGTCGATCCTCTTTTATAGGGGCGCCTAGCAATGGGCCGGCAATCTCCTCCTGCGAGTCTGAGGATCAAAGTCAGAGCACAGGACCCAAGGAACCCATCGGCTGCCCTCCGCCACCAGTCCGCCTTTCTGACACGTCGGACAGCGCTTCCTCCTGGGCCCTTCTGACCCGCTGCACCTTCCACGGTCTTCCTCCCGTGTCCCTTAGGGGACGGCTTCTTGAAGGGAACATTGGCGACTGCCACCTCAACGCAACTCCTTCAGAATAGACGAAGGTTTGAAAATAGCTTCAGATACTAGAGGGTGCTTCCCCCCTCATTTTGGAATTCTGAATAAAGTGCAACTTTTCTGTTCATTGGATTAAAAAAAAATGTAGCAGTAAGTTTTAAATTATAAACTCATAAGCCACCCAAGTTAGGTTTACCAGAAGTCTAGATACACTCCTTTCCCTCTTGCAGACTATTTAGAACAGTGCTCCCAGGAGGCCGCCACATTACAGGGGCACAGCCTGGGAACAGCAGACGTGACATCTGTTGGACTCACTGTTCCATCTGTCCCTGACATGGACTACACACAAAGCAACACAGCTCTCGGGGACTTAAGAGGCCTGCTAACCCTTTCCTTTCCCCTTAAAGCCATTCCAAGCAGAGGAGGATCTACCCTATTTTTAAAGACCTCCAAGGAAAAGCCCACAATCCTTAGCCAAATATTTAGAAATTAAGTTTCCTATGGCCTTTCCCCATTGCTCTGCATACACATTCCTGCCCATAGTCCTGCCATAAAGAGAACCCTGGAGCCACGAACTTTGAGAAGGCCTACATAAAAGCAAAGTAATTCTTAATCTTACCCAATACTCAATGCCATGAAAGTAGTCTCATGAAAAAGCAACTCATAATTTTAAGTGTAAGTATATGTGCTCTGCTAGTTTCTTCTATTAAATCTTCCCTGGAAAGTGAAGATTTGGAATGAGTAACTTACCCGTTTCTTTATCAGGAAGCTCAGGAACCAGGTCTATTAATTTTACAGGATGGATGCTGGGAAAACATAAAAAGGTCTTAATACCTAAATGTAGGGAACTGCTAAATCAAAGAAGGGCTTAAGGCCAAAAACAGATGGGAGATTAAACCCCATTTCATACAAGGAGCCTCGGGGATGACATACAAGCTACCGAGAAAGGCTTTTCTCATACACATGACGCGGAGTGCACAGATCTAGGGTATGAGAGCCACTGAGTCAAACCTAGAAATACAAGGGCTGCTAGTTTTGCTTCTTTGGGCCACCACTGCCCACTTTTCAAAAAGAACTATATAGTTCCAAATGATGCTGATAAGTAAGACTTGGTGAAAATATTAATCCAACCAGTGGCTCGTTTATACTAATTTATCTGCAATCCCACATTAAAATATAAATCGGAAATAAATCATGGAAATAAATCAAAGTAAAACCCTTAATGTCGATAATCAGAAAAAAACAAAATGACCAGAATGACACCTAAACCAAGCATCTGCCACATACAGCCTCTGAAATGTTCTGTCAAAATAATGATGTGGAATCAGGAAGATGGCAAAATTCTAAAACCTCACTTAAGGGAGCATGTTAAGCATTTCTGCAAACGAAAAGGCCGTTTCATCAAGTGTGACACCAGCCGGTTACGGTGACGGACCGCTCTGATCCTGTTTGGCCACGAAGCCACTGGCCTAAGTGCGGGAAGCAGCTCTCGGAGGGGACATGAACGCAAACCCTACCTGGGTAAGGTGAAAAGTCTCTGCAGCTCCGGTCGGTGTCAGAGGAGTCGGGCTGGGGTTCGCAGTACGAAGGCAGCGCTTCCGTAGTTTGCTAGTTGAGCACGCAGTGCTTAACTATCAAGAAATTACCTTCTGTATTTAAGAGATTTTTACGTTGTAACCCATTTTTTTGTTTCCTGGGCTGTGTATACCACTTGCGAAGCATTCCAGACAACTACTAACAATACTTACCTTCTTCTCAGAGCTCCAGCACTCATCTTTGGAAGACTTTAAGAAAGCCACTTTTCTCAGTTTTGGTGTCTATAAACTTGCAATCACACACAGACGGGGAAAAGCCTGTGAAGCATTTCACTTCCCACATAAATGATGAAAACCAATCACTTGCGGGGCAGGAGGGGCAGCGCGCAAAGCCGGCTCAGGAGATGGCCGCCTCGCACGGCTGCATCCGCGCCTGACCTCGGTGGGCTCCCGCATGAAACACAAGATCCCTATTTCACATATTCTATATTTGGGTTTAATAGGTTTGCATTTAAGTTTACATCTTAGCTCTTTGCCAATTGATGAACCAAAGAATTAGCACTCTCAAAATCAGAAAACGCCTTTGGTAAAAGAAAAAAACAGACTTTTAAGTAAAAACAGGGTATCAAACAAAAACGTGAATAATCTGTGTGTTATACAAGTGACAAATTCTGAGAATAACTGGAGTACTGAGGGGGTCAAAATGAAGTAGGTGGACTATTTCAAATTTATAGTCAGGGAAACTGTCCTCAGGAGGACAGTTCTCCATTCATAGATTTTCCGTTCAGAGCAGGTCTTTTATAGGCCATTAAGTTGTAGGTGGTACAATGAACTAGCTTATAAAATAGACTTTTTTTAGAATGGGGATGATACAAAGTCAGTTTCTGTAACTCATTTTCCCTCCTGAAAGAGTTTTATTCTCAAACCTAAACTTAACTCTTCCGTTCGGGGATTCCTGGCGTGGTTCTGAGATGCCGTCCACTCCAGTAGCAGAGCCGACAGGTAACCAGTATTGAGGAGTGACCTGTGGCTGCTCTAAATGAGTACTACTGTGCACACACACAAAAGCCTGTAGGTATATGCAAAAGGGAGAGATAAACCAAGAGTACTTCAGTACTGGTTTAATCAATGCTCTCACTCAATCCATCTTAACTACCTTACAGACTGGAAATAATATTTAGGCATAAATATATGCAAAACTAGATTTTTTAAATGCACAAGTCATCAATGGAAACATATCTGCATTTTACTACACCTCTCATCATCATTCAAACCATCTTCAGAAAACCTGAAAAGGAAAATCTAAATAGCTGAAAAATACCAGTAGAACCTGAAAATTATTAAACTATATCTTCCACATGACTTACCTACATTTATCACCATCAAGGTTTCACCAAGAACCAGATTCAGGTACATAATTAGGGGCCACAATTACTTTTTCATAAAATCAGGGCCAAGTGATTTTTTTAGTATCTACTAAGCCAACCCTCAAGGCCAGACACAAGGAAACGGTAGTAGTGCGGGATTCAAAGCTGAAGCCAAGTACTCCACCATTCATGGGGTATATTTTTGTTGATTCTCACCCCAGAACCCTGCCACCTCAGACAACCACTTAAACTGAATTATCACTTCTACTGGCCCTGAAATTCCCTTTCTGTAGTTACTTCTTTCTTTAAGTAGAAACAAATTATAGCTAAGTGGGGTATATTCTAGTATAAGAATACAGTGAAGGCCAAAAGAAATTCCATTTGTGCCACTAATGACTCATGGTGGGCCACAGCTCAGGTCAGAAAACATACTTAACAAGAAAATAACCAAAGAGTAGGATATTATCATTTACTTCACTAAAAATCTTGTTTCTTCAAAACTCTAAACAAAATTGATCCCATTAAGATATTTTTTAGCATTTTTAACAAATTTTAGTAACACCTCTTATTCCCATACAAAGCAATCTAATTTTCTGAAGGAAAAAAAAAAAACAAAAGACAAAAAATTAGAAATGGCTATGTAGGACCCTTTCAACACAGTGCGTGATTCCAAATGGTAACAATAAGTAAGAGACATGAGGGACCTTTGTGCTCACGGGTGAGCCCTAGTCGTCCCCTAGCCCAGGCTCAAAGCCATTTATCCCATAATCTTAGACAAATTAACCGTGGTTCTTCTGTATCCCCATTCAAGTAATTCATTTTAAAGACCCACCCTTTATCTGAAATGGTTATTCTCAATAATGAGCCTACCAAAGGGAGACAACAAAAGAATAAGAAAGAAAAATAACAGTGCAGTATAAATATTTTCACCATAAAGAGTAAAGACTAGGTGCCAACTTTATGCATCTGAAGACTCTAAGTTTTATATTTAAAAGAAAGAAATCCTTCCTCTAAGGACTTTTAAAGCATATCAAACAAACTAGGTTTTCATTTGACAAAGTCTTAGGCCCACCAAATATGTAGAAATAAGAATCTCAAATACTTCAGTTCTCCAAATATACAAAACCAAATAAGGCACAAATACCTAAAGAATAAACACAAACAACTCTACAGTGTTGTAGTTACTGTGACTCAGAGAGCCCTTCTATTTTGTCTTGTAGGATAATTAAAATAGCTCTCTCTGTTGCACATGTCCAAATTTATTCAGATTGTTAGAGATCTATCATTCTGAAACTTAGAGTATGATAGGCTATCAAATTCCAAACTTTACTGTTGGTATACTCTAATTCAAAATAAAAAATCTTCAAAGACGTTTGTAAAAACCTCTGCCGATCTACTGTAAAATATAACTTTTGAACAGGAACATACTATACTATTGTAATTATCAAGAAAATAGTTGGAATGATCATTGAAATGTCGATTCAGGAGGCTCTCAATTTTCCTGTTTGGTTTTCAAACAACCTACACTTCTCTGCATTTACATCCTGGTTCCCCTACACAGACTTCCTAAGCTGATCTCAGATACTCACATGCAGCAGGTAAGTGAACACTTACAGCTATCCTACCATGCTAGGGCTGGTTTGTGTTATTTGACGATCTTGCACCATTTTTCCTTTATATATTGAGTAAGTGCAAGAGGGGGAAAAACATCAAATGGCAGACATTGTAAGAACTGCTGGTCTCCGAACTAAATACAACTGAGAAAAGAACAGACATCAGGAAGAATGAGAAATCTACAGCCTCAACTGGGTGCTCACACAGGCTTTAAGCCAGTTGGCTATGTTCACCCCAGAGAAAGGGCAAATGCAGGGAACATGCAGAAATACTAGAAATAAATTAGGTCTAAAAAATGAAGCATAATTAGGAATTCCAGAATGACTTACAACTCCTCTCTGTTTTAATTCATTATCTTTCGCAGAACCAATTTTCACACACATTTTTAGGAATGTATTGAGAACTATATGAAAGAAGGGAACTGCCCGTGCTGAAAGAGATGAAAAAATTGGCCCAAGATCAGTTCTTTTGTATTTACTCAATGATTCTGTATGAATGAAAATTCAGAAAAATTGCTTTGCAATCAACAAATGCAGAACAAGAAATTAAACACTAATCTACAGCAAAAGTTGCTACACAAGAGACATTTATTAATGTTCTGTTTTATTTACAGTTTCAACATAGCAGACCAAGGTGAATTACCACTTGGCAGAAAGCACACCATTCTAACATTTATAACACATCAGTTTCTGCAACACATTGTAAAAGCTAGTAGTATAGTACGTTAGGGATCATCTCAAAAGTTCCAAGCTAATTCTTTCTTTGCTCCTAATACCTAATCCCCCTTCCTCCTCCCAGCCCCTGGCCTAATCATCAGGAGACAAAAGGAAAAGAAACACAGTGGTAGGGACTCTAATCATAAGAAAATGTCAAGAATTGCATTTTAGTAATGAAGCTGCATTTGCCCTTGTCCTATTTTATAGTGACAACCATCTTTACAATCCCTTAGGTACCCAACACAGAACAATAATGTACTGCAAAATTCAGAATACAGACTATAAAAAATTAGTGCTTTTTACCAATTAAGAACATATTCTTGACCACATCTTAAATGGACTTTGCACTATGATTTTGCTTCCAGGTGTCACAGTACTACTGAATAAATTTCTAGATTAATTTTAACAGCAACTATGGATTATGTGCAGAAATGCAGTGATAACAAAAGTTTTAACTTTTGAGAAAACCCCTTTAAAATGGCCAGCATTATACATATCTTACACTGAAATATTTAATTCCAAATTCATTTTGAGATGGAGGATGAATAAAGCAAGATTGCCCCCTACTGACTACAGGGACAAGGCTCATGCTATTCAAAATGACTACAAACAATAGATAAGGCATTATTAATACACCACAGACTTGATTGCAAGAGCTTTTTCAAACATTAACCACTAATGATTCAATGATTATGGAATTCTGCATTAACTATTAAAATTTTACACCTAGGAACAGAGAGAAATGATATTTTTCAACAGTACTTAATTTTTTTTAAAGCAGGTGATTGTTCCTCTGTGTTCTGCATCTTGATTCACTTCCTGCAGGTGTTCTCCTGCTTCTTGAGAGAGAATTCATAAACGCAGGAAGGCCTTTGCCAGAAAACATCTGCCAGAGAAGGATATTGAATATTGAAACTCTAGTTAGCTTGTTGTTTTGGCTAAGGGACGGATGCAGTCACAAGAGAACGCAGGATGTTTGGAGACACAAGAAGCACATTTCAGCACAGCTTTAAGATTACTATACACTGACGTCATAGTATTCAATAAACATTAAAATTTCAATTCTTAAAGTTACCAAGGACTCCCGAACTAGAAAGAACTGGAATGCTTTCTATAAAACCCATGAAGTCAGGGGTCTCTCTTCAAACCTAATAGAATACCTGACAGAAGGTAACAGTTCCTTCATCCCACGCTTGACCTCAACAGCAGTGACTCAAACTTGGGAACAAAAAGAGAGTAGAATCTAAGCATCCTGGTAATCTCCAAATACACGCGAAGCTACTATTCATCCTGCCAATTCTGCCAGATCTCATGCAAGGAAGACTGCCAATTATGCCATACTACAGTTAAAACTGTCAAAGTTAAAAAAAAAAAAAAAGACTATAAACTCACAGTATCACAAATACTTTTTTAAAATCATTTAGAAAAAAAGGCAATGTTATTTTGGGCATATATCTCTGGAAAAAAAAATATGTAGCCCCAAACTAACATTTAAAAATATACATACATTATATATATATATATACACACACACACACACATACATAACTGAAATAAATGCTCTCAAGATAATGTCCATATATTTTGTATTTTAAATGCAATTTTCATCCAATCCTTTTGAGGCATTTCTGCTCTGGCATAACTAATTCTTCTGGTTCTCACAAAAATAACAGGAACAACTACAAGTAACTCCCTATATTAATGCTAAAAGAAACACTAACGAGACACATTAAACTTAATGAATATTTAACGAGAAACTTCGCTCTGGCACCCACACCAGTGAGAGTTGGGTGGGCTCATATACAGGCCCTCAGCTTATTCTGCCATCTTTCCAAATGACTATAAAAGTCGCAAGCAGCCCTTTTATATCTTTTATTTTTAGACTGCTGCATAAATCCTTAGAAGGCTGACAAACTGCAGAAGAGCTACAACAATGAAGGAAATCAGTATGTTCTTTTAAAACTGTAAATACTTCCCTAAACTCCAAATTTATTTGGTATTCTGATTTGAAGTAAACTAATGATACTGACACAAGAGAAACTTTTTCTCAAATTCAAAGACCTCAGAATGTGCAGGGATAGAAAGATCCAGGAATATAAGGAACTCTAAAAGCCAAGCAGAAGAAAACAAAACTGGTAAACCCATATCAAATGGATATTTTTGCAATGATGCTAGACTCATTTCAAACCTAAGTACCGTCAGTTTTATCAGTTTCCATTTATCAGATGAAAACTGATGAAATAATTACTATTAGGTTGAAACACCAGAGTTTGCAAGAATGTATGATACAGTCCAGATAACTGCTGGCCACTACCCTTGGTTCATGCTGCTTCCACACTGGTAAATCAGATTTAAGAGGTCCCTAAGTCAGACACCTCCCAACAAACATTAAAGACCCATGAACAGGATCTAGATAGGTTTCTAATGGGCGATCTCGATCACTATGCAAATCCAGATGAAAAAGACGGCTAGAGGGACCCTCACTGCTAAGACTTCGAGGCCTCATAGATTGTTCAAGAACAACGATGAACTCGGGTTAGAGGATAGACAGCTTTTAAGGACAGGACTGTGGACATCATTAATGAACTGTAGATCAGATTGCCTTGGAAACAAAAGGAACCCGACAGCCTACAGATCATTTAATTTCAAGAGGATGACAACCATTTCTCCTTAGACATATGAATTTTTTTAGCAAAATTTTCACTGCCAACATTTCTACTGTCCTGCTACTTATAACACAAATCAATACATCAAACTTCAACTTGAGATGGATTTCCTTTAATGAAATAGAAGAGCTGGGAAAAAAAATAGCTATTAAGGAAGAGAGGGCAGATTATAGAAAGGGAGAAATAAAACCACTTACCATCATAGGGAAAAAGTCAACATATCTGATGCCTAATAGGTACAGCTCACCAGGTCACAGCAATCCCTCCCTAATTATGAAGGGCCCTATCTCGTTAAAGCCAGGATTCACAAACTTTCTCTGCTCCTGTTTCAGATGTGGCTACAATAACAGAATTTAAAATCTATTATGCTTCATATATACAAGTGCCTTTGCAGTAACGTGAGGCTATCGGCTACCTGAGTTACCACTTCACAACTACTGTAGCTGACCCCTCAGCTGCACGGCAGCGTCAGGGAAGTGGTCCTTCAGAAAAATCTATTCTCCAGTTAACTGATAAGAAAATGTATAAATACATTTTTTACCATTTCAGATAAAGATGTTTCTAAAAGACGTCTGTTTCTTTTTAAACAACACAGAGAGAACATTTTGTTTGTTTCTGCTTCCTCAGTCACATATTTATGTCACTGCCCACCTCTAGCAGTTTCTTCTGGCTTTTCTTGCTGTGGGGTAGGAAACCAGACTTCCTTTTTCAAGCATAAATGTGCTCCGAAGGGGACCCTGAGAGCTGCCTCCTGTGATAATAGCATATGAGCTTTAAGGGTTTGGCTTCTGTAACATCTACTCTGGCTGATTAGAAAGAGGGTTTTCAGGGTTATTCCAAGGTCTGTTGGTTCGTGTGTACTATATTCTCTGGGTAGCCTACAGAGAAAGTCACTGTTCTTAATAACTTTTGCTAGTAAAATGCCAGATCTTAGTAGCATAGGAATTAAGTTATTTTTCTGTATGGCAAAGTTATTTTTTAAATTCTCTACCTGTACCTTTCTGA